TAGAGTATTACTCGGCAATCAAAAAGAATGAAATCTTGCCATTTGCAACTACGTGGATGGAACTGGAGGGTATTATGCTAAGTGAAATTAGTCAGTCAGAGAAAGACAAAAATCATGACTTCACTCATATGAGGACTTTAAGAGACAAAGCAGATGAACATAAGGGAAGGGAAAGAAAAATAATATAAAAACAAGGAGGGGGACAAAACAGAAGAGACTCATAAATATGAAGAACAAACTGAGGGTTGCTGGAGGGGTTGTGGGAGGGGGGATGGGAAGGAATCTACTCCTGAAATCATTGCTTCACTATATGCTGACTAATTTGGATGTAAATTTAAAAAAATAAAAAATAAAGTTAAAAAAATAAAGCAATATTGTCAGAAAAATTGTCAGAAAAGCAAGATCAGTTCAGACAACAAAATATTCAGAGGTATAAAAAAGACTAACTTAATAATATGCTAATTCAGTATGCTGCTTTAAAAAGAAATGCTCAAGGGGCGCCTGGGTGGCTCAGTCGGTTAAGTAGCTGACTTTAGCTCAAGTCATGATCTTGTGGTCTGTGAGTTCCAGCCCTGCATTGGGCTCTGTGCTGACAGCTCAGAGCCTGGAGCCTACTTCTGATTGTGTATCTCCCTCTTTGTCTGCCCCTCCCCTGCTTACTCTCTGTCTCTCTCTCTTTCAAAAATAATAAACATTAAAAAAAAAATTTTTTTAAATACACTGTTTTAAAAAGAAATGCTCAAGGGGCCTTTGGGTGGCTCAGTCGGTTAAACATCTCGTTCCTAATTTCAGCTCAGGTCATGATCTCATAGTTCATGGGATCTAGCTCTGAGTCAGAGAGATCCCTGCTTAGGATTCTCTCTCTCCCCCTCTCTCTGCCCCTCCCCTGATCTTTCTCAGGTTTGCTCGCTCTCGCTCTCTCTCTCAAATAAGTAAACTTTAAAAAAAAAAATTTTTTAAAGGAATGCTCAAGGGGTGCTTGGATGGCTCAGTTGGTTGGGCATCCAACTTTGACTCAGGTCATGATCTCACAGTTTGTGGGTTCAAGCCCCGCATCGGGCTCTGTGCTGACAGCCTACTTCAGATTCTGTGTCTCCCTCTCTCTCTGGCCCTCCCTCACTCATGCTCTGTCTCTGTCTCTATCTCAAAAATAAATAAAACATTAAAAAAAAATTTTTTTAAAGGAATGCTCAAATGTGAGCTCCAGGCTGCATAGAATACATAAAACCTATTCATGCTTTTCATTATCTTAGACTTTAACCACAGTCTCCAACAAAATATAAATTCTGTTGTTAAAAACAATCTTGCTAAATGCTGCTTAATACTATATTTAATAATAGCCTCTTCAAGGAGAGTAAATGCTTATTGCCCTGGAAATCTGAACTAATGTAATTTCATTCAAAATCAGTTTCCTTATGTTCTTCAAACTTCCTTGCAGCTAAGCTAACCCACGTCCTCCAGAAGCTCCATGCACTTCTTACCAAGGTGTCATTTCTGCAGTTCCTGGGATGATTTAGCATACAGTTAATTCTAACTGGATTTTGTTCTCTTTGGCCAGGATGTTTAACTTCAGTTTATGGCACATATTAGGAAGAGTAGGGTAGAGGTCAAGGCTGCAGGATCTGGAAGCAAACAATCTTGATTTACACCACAGCTTTGTACTTGCTAACTGTCTAACTCAGGTCCAGGTGGTACCCCTCCTGCCTCCTCAGTTTGATCATCTGATTTTATAGATTATCTATCTCATGGGTAGGATTCAGTGGGCTAATATATGTTAAGCACTTAAGACAATAATAAGCTCTCAGTATGAGTTTATTATTATTAGGGGTAGAGAAGAGAGGAAAACCACAATGACTGCCCTCATGTAATTTGCCATCTAGAAGGAGACAAACATATATTTACCAAAGAATCATACAAATAAATGAATCTTGGCATGGAAGTTCTAACCAACACCTTTTTGAAGTCTACTTGATAATGTTTACAAGTCATGAAATGCTATAAGAAAGATTCTGCCCAAAGAAGGATTGACTAAAATGCTGGTCATGATAATATATAATCTGGAGTTAACATCATTTTGATTAATTTACATACTAATTAGAGGGAAAGGAAAAATCAATGTACAAACTCTCAGAAATTAAACATGTCTTTTGACTGATCTGCAGAAAAAGGTAGCATATGCTGGAGAAATCTAGAGTCCTGGGTTCTAATTCCAGTTCTGCCTATTTCTCCCCTAAACCTCCCTGTCCTCATTAATAAAATGAGGAAAACAGCACCTACCACCTAAGGTCATTATGAACATCAGATGAGGTGCCCCATGCAGATGGTGCACACTGTGGAAATGCCAGGCCCCTCTGGACTCTTCTCCATCCATGCCTACCCCAAGTCATGGAACATCTCCCTCAGGCCAACACTGCCTTCTCTTCCTCTTTGACTTGGTGAATAAATTAAAACAAGAAACAAGGGATCTATTTTTCCAGCACTAGAATGGACAGTTTAACTTCTACCTAGAAATTATAGGCTCCATACTCTAGATTACTGTTCAGGCTCACATTCTGTCCTCAAATTTGTATGGACATTTCCCCCTTGTTGGTAGGAAGCCAAGGCCTCTGTGTTCTGCTGGGAATGGGTTGGTAGGCTCATGTTATTTAGAATCTGTTCTTTCTCCCAGTCTTGCCTCTGCTGCTGCTGTTACCAGTCCAAAAGTCTGATGACTTCGGTCCCCATGAATGGAACAAGCATACAATGGAAGAACCACGAACAAAACAACCACAACACAGAGAGGAGCAGCCATAAGGACAGTATTAACTAAACAGCTTAAGAAACATTAATCAATATTCCTTCAAAGTCTGTTGAAGAGAAAAAAAATCACACAGCAACTGTGTTTCCAGAAATCTTTTCTCCAAGTCTTCTCCCATGATGCAACCCCAACCCCAGAAAAATGCTTTCCAAAACATCAGAGGGTGGACTGGCTTATAGTCACAAATTCAATGGATCTTTCTTCTTTAATTTATCTAATTTACATATTCTGCATGTTATATTCAGCACCAAAAAATGTTGGGAGTTAGCAGGGAGAAAGGAGACTGTTCAATTGAACCAGAAGGATATTTGCTACTTTTGCATGAAAATAGAGTCTCCGAGTACTTAACAGCTTCCATGGCAGTTCTGTGGAATGTTCCATGAGAACTGGTCATAATGAAAATTTTGCAATCTTGACAAGGTTTTCTTTTTTTTAATTGGCCAAAGACAGTAAGATGAGCAATTAGGTTAATGTTTTTCATGTCACTTTTTTTATTTTTAACACACCAATTCTCAAGCTGCAACAAATACAGCCACTTAAAGCACAGACTGATACCCACATGTGGCAGTTTAATAGCTGCTATTCAAAGAATTGTTAAGAACCTATATATATATATATATATATATTTTTTTTTTTTTAATGGTGTTTCATTACAGGAGATCTGGAGCATATTTTTATGTTAAATTTTAAAATAATGCTTGAATCAAATAATTCTATTTTTTGCAAACCCAATCTTTTTAAAATGTAGATATTTTGTGTAAAACCAATGTCATGTACCAAAATGTAAATGTACAAATCATTCAACTATACCCAAGAATTTCAGTGGAATGTATTGAAGTCTAAAGCACACTTCATAGAAAAAGATTGAATCTTTTTTGAAGATTTGGAAATTTTCACTGAGACTTTGTTTTTTTGGTCATAGTAACATGTGTGTGTATGTATGTGCATATAAGATGTACATATACATATATGTATAATGTATATAGATGTAGGCATATCTATATACATTATACATATCACCTCATATTCTCTTGATTTCTCTTAAAATGTTAACTGGCAGTAAGACTTTTTTGGTCATTCCCTTTTCCATATAAGAAACAATTTCAAGGTGGCCAACTGAGTTTATCATGTCAGTGAAATATAATTATCCCCAAATGCCACCATGAACTTACGGTTCTTCACTTCCCTGGGTTTCCAGTATGAATCGAAACACCTCCCCACCCCTGCTCCTCACATGGTCACCATTTCAAAGGGCCCACAGTGACTTTTGCTGGGCATTTTCCAAGATGTTTACAGACTGTGAGTACGGCAAAAAACCTTTTACTGTGTGTATATAAATATATATAAACAACTGTACATTTCTTTTAGCCAATTTTTCTGTGATTGTCTTTATGGAATATACTTGTGTGTGTGATATATGCATGTGTGTGACAGTATGTATGGACTTAATGAAATCTAATAATAATGCCCTGTAGTTGTACTACAGCACACACTCTGAGTGGGTGGAATCTAGTGGTTGTTCATCATGACAACTGGCCTTAGTTTTGATATATCTGTGTTCACAATCCTTGTGACCATGTTGCCATTACAAATGGAATATGAGAGGCAGCATGAAAGAGGATGCACCATGGGTTGACAATAGGGTTTGTTTAATTAGTTGGTTGGTTGGTTGGTTGGTTGGTTGGTTTGATAAAACAGTATTTGGGGTTATACTTTTTCCTGTGCTAGAGCAAAAATCATTCAATTTTGAAGTAGTATATTGTCCTGGTTCCTCAACTCAATGTGCTGATGAGACTGACAAGAGGTCTGATGTTTCTATCAGACTTCACCAGATAGATTGCTGATGATAAATTACCTAAGCTGATTTTTGGGCTATATTTTAGCATAGTCATGTATAAAATGATATCAGGTTCCAGCTTGTGCCATTGCAGGCCTCCTCTATGTGTGAGCAGTCAAATTCCGTTACTATACTGGTGAATCACATACAGTGATATATACCTATAATATAAGCCATAGTTCACATCATTTTGTTTAGACAATTGTCTTCTTTTTAAAGATATTTTGTCTCTTGCATATTAAAAATGCATTTTATAAGTTCAGAGAGTCATAGATTTCTGAATAAAACACAGACTTCAATGTGCATTTAATTTATGGACCAGTAAGTAACCATGATTTACTAACAGGAATAGTTCCAATTTCTACCTTTACCACATCTTTCCAAGTAGATCTGTAGAAATGAGCCAGAGGCCAAGGCCCCTGCATTGGCAGTGGCCCATAAGTATAAAATAAAAGTTTACAGAAGACTTGCAAGTGTCTCTTCATTTTTACATAGTTTTACATAGAAAATGTTGATTACGTGATGCCTGTTGCAAACTTCTCCCTAGTAGTAGCCAGGCAAGCAATTTAACTTTCAAATAGGTACTTCCTATTCTCAACCTACTTTGTTATACTAAACACTTAACTCTTTCATTAATTCCTTCATTCACCTTTCCAGTAAGTTTTAAGCATCTACTATGCACCAGGCATTCTTCTAGGTTTGGGGGACATAGCAGCAAACAAAACAGGCAGAGTCCCTGCTCTCATGGAGCCTGCATTCCAAAGGAGGGAGTTGGACAATAAATAGCGTGTCAGGTGGATATCTGGAGGAAGATACTCATATATACCTACATGCTTATTTAACATCTCCAAATGAATGGCTAACAGACATACTATATCTAAAACTAAGCTCCTGATATCCCTCTAGCCTGTGCTGCCATAATATTTCTCTGCTTATGTATTAGGGTTCTCCAGAGAAACAGAACCAATAGGATAGATAGATAATACATAGATGATAGATAGATAGATAGATAGATAGATAGATAATACATAAAAGAGGAAATTTATTATAGGAATTGGCTCCATGTGATTATGGAGGCTAAAATATGCCATGATCTACCATCTACAAACTGGAGAACCAGGAAAGCCAGTGATATAATTCAGTTCAAGTCCAAAGGCCTGAAAAAAACAGGGGAGCTAGGGTTAACTCCCAGAGTCCAAGGCCCAGGAACCAGGAGTACCAAAGTCCAAAGGCAAGAGAAGATAGATGTCCCTCATCAAGAAAAGACAGAATTCACTGTTCCTCTGCCGTTTTGTTTTTTTCAGGCCTTCTACAGATGGATGACACCTGCTCACACTGGTGATAGCAGATTTATTTGCTTTACTCAAGCTTCTGATTCAAATGTTAAACTCTTCTGGAAATACCCTCACAGGCACACCCAGAAGTAATATCTTACTGGATGTCTCTTAGCCTAGTCGACACATAATGTTAACCATCATAGCTCATTTAAAGACAGCTTCATTCTTTGAGCTGTCGGGATAAAAACCTTGAAGTCATTGCCCATTCTTTCTCTCCTGTCTTATACTAAATGCCTCAATACATCCTGACAGCCCTATCTTCAATATATATTCAGAATCTGACTACTTCTCTTTCTCTGCTTCTACTTCCCTTTTCTGAGCCACCAATGCCATTTGCCAGGATAATCACAATAGAATTCTATCATGTTTTTATCACGCCTGCTATCAATGCTTCTATCATTTCCAGCCTTTTAAACACTATACTCTAATTGGAGCCTGTCTCTCGACCCCTATAAACGGTCTAAAGGTATTCACATTTCCAAGCTAAGCTGACCAGTATCCCCTGGGGAGTTTTCTAGTAACAACTGAAGTAGGAAAGAGCCCTTTCCTACTGTGGCACACCTGGTAGGACATGACCATGGGAGCTGTGCCACCATGGTTTGGGCATTATGAGGAAAGTCAACGTAGACTGTTACAAAGATGAAAAAGAGCATATAAGCTCCTGGTTCCAGTTTTCCCTGATGCTTTCCCATGGCTTGAGTAAGCAAACTAATATATTTACTCTTGTGCCTGTGCTAATAAATTGGGTTTTTGTTGCTTACAATCCATACATTCTAAGAACATCTCCTCTAAGTTATCTTGATTTATTTCTCTTTTCTTGTTTAAATTAAGAGGCTTTATGTTTTTTAGAGTTTAAGGTTTATAGAAACATTGATTGGAAAGTACAGAGAATTCCCACATGTCCTCTTCCCCTCCTTGCCTGCATGCAACTCTATTATTTCCCTCTTGTGTCAGTGTGGTATACTTGATGATCCAATACAAGAGTGTTAACTAAAGTGCAGAGTTTACATTGGGTTTCACTGTTTTGTACATTCTATGGGTTTTAATAAATGTATAGTGACAGTTTTCCACCATTATAGTATCATTTAGAATAGTTTCACTGCCCTCAAAATACCCTATGCTCTACCTTTTCTTCCCTCCTTCCTTCTCCTTCTTGATTTATCTTTTCACCCAATACAGATATGGTAAACACCCTCCATTATTACACTGTGTGAGTTGCTGGGAATACAAAACCAGATATATAAACAAATAAATAAATGCACTGACATTCTTAGTGGTGACTCATAGATGCCAGCATAGGAGCCGGTAAAGGCACAAAATAGTCAAGATTCTTTAAACTTCAACTGGTGACATTAGAGAACACAGCGAAAAGGTTTTCCCTTCTACGATTCTTACTTCAATGCAAAAATATGTCACTGCTAGGAGAATGACATAATAAAAAGCAATAGACTATTGTCTTTACATTATGAGCTTTTTTAAGCTGTAAATACATGTCACTTTCCACTCAAAAATAAACCAAATATCTGTGCCTTTAAAATTATTAAGGTAATGAAACAAATGGGAGATTAAGTCCAGGAAATTGCCAAGACAAATATTAACCTTTTCCTAATCTCTTATCCTTATCATTATTTTTAATAGTATTACTAGTCCATAATATAGCATTAAACACTATATAGGTATGGAGTGAGGAAAGTGCACTACCAGTATTCCCCAGCCTCTCCAGGCCTGAAATTCTAATACCATGGTTCCTTTATTTGCACAGCAGTGTATTTATTGACCTTTCTCCATACTTCAAACCGGCAAAGTTAAATCAGGGCCCAAGTCCACCATATGCAGTA